ATCTGATTTAGTGCCTTTCATCTATCCTTTACTACGCAGAAAAACATTTCTCCGTTGCTGAATATATACTCTTGAGTTTTCCAATGGGGGGGCGCAATAATGGTTATTACCTTGAAATTCAAGGTGAAAGAGTTTCTTTGGTGAACTTAAATTTTGACTTTACTGAGTTAATGCTGACATTTTAATGAATAAGACACTCCACTCAAACAGTCTCTCTTTTGTAATGATTGCATACTCTGGTCAGGAAGACTTTTAGCAAAACACAGTTTATTGTTCTGTGCCTTCTACTTTTATGAGTGCCTATTATTTCTATTTTATATACCATTTTATGCAAAACCATCATTTGCTAGGAAGCATTTTCTTTTTTCCCCTGTTTACCTATAGGTCTAGAGCACCAGTGATGTATACTAGTATCTAGGTACAAAGCACCTTACAAATGTGACTTGGCATACTCCTGGGTACAAACCTAAAATTAGTATAATCATCTTTCAATACTTTCCTCTGTAAGAAATCTGCTTCCTAGTACACTCATTTTATTTAAGCTTTCTGAGTCCCACTGTATAAAAGGACATCATTTTAAGTGGCAGTGAACCAGATGGTAATTAGTTTCCTTGTGATTATTGATTACACATTCCTCATTCATTTGGCTGAGGCAATAGAAAATTACTAAGAAACCAAAAACAGAAAAAAATTGAAATGTTATAAATTTTTCTGAAACAATAAATATGTTGAGAGTATACAGCATGAAAATAGTATTGTTCCCCTTTAAGATTTCAGTACTTTCAGGGGAATGGGGAAAAAATAAGAGCCAAGATAGATTATATAAAGGTGTAAATCTACAATGATGAATATCATTATATTGTATACCTAAAATGTACCAATAAAATTAATTTTAAAAAGATGTCCGCATTTTCATCTGTTCTGAAATTGTTTATGATTTTTAGAAGCACAAGGGAATGTGGAGGAAACTGCGTAACTTACCGCAGAGGCCAGATTCACAGTGAGACTCGTAGAGGGGGCTATTCAATTTCATGTACGCAAATCAAAGAGGCTCAAACCCAGCCAGAAAGGATGAGGAGGAAATGAAGTGGCAGAGAAATTGAGATGCACTCCTTGCTTGGGAAGAGAAGAGTCATCCCCAGGCATCTGCAGGTGTTTGGTTCCAGGCCCCTCACACCCATCAGCAAACTTGGTGTTCAACTCACTGTCTAAAACGGCACAGCATTTGTATATAACCTACATACATCACCTTGTATACTTTGCACAATCTCTAGATTACTTAAAATACATAGCTCAATGTAATGTTTTCTTACTAGTTGTTAACATTTATTGTCTAACGACTCGTGACAAGAGAAAGTCTGTATCTGCTCAGTGGAGATGTAAATTTTTGGTCGAATATTTTGACCCATGGTTGGCTGAATTCATGCATGCTGATCCTGTGGGCGTGGAGGGCCCCTGTGCTTTCATACAAGAATCTGGGGTGGGGGGCAGTTACAGGAGAGTTTGCTGCGATGTGTATTGCAATAGATTTCCCTTTAGGAAAAGGATGTCTTGGGAGTACTGTGAGCTGCCACAGCAAAGTTGTTTCAGGGCTATAGAGTTAATTAAGTTTGGATAAAGAGACAATGGACACTTTAAATTTGCCTGATTCTATGTTTTGCATTTGTTTTCTTTGCCAAGAGGCTATGGGCAGAAGTGGCATCCATAATAGGACTCCTAGTTCTACAGGCAAGTCTTCCCGACATAAGGGAATCAGGCTGCAGGGAAGGTTAGGAAGTGGACTTTTCCCCTGATGTTCCTGTGCTGAGTAGATACTCCAATCTAGTGACAAGCAGAAAAACAAAAATTTTATCCTGTTGTGTAGGGATAACTGGGGCATGCAATGAAATCAACAGGCAAGATCTGCTTGAGCTTTGTAATGTGAAGACCCAGGCTCTCCAGTTATTCACCTGCTCCTGATGAAGGCAGGCCACACATATCAGGAGGGAATTCAGTGAACCAAGCCTTACTTCTGCTTGCTGTGGGTTTCTCTTCTCTCCTTTTACAAGGGAGAATTTTGGAAATCTGGCTCTTCAGCTTGAGAGGGTAAATGCTGAATCTCAAAGCCCCAGTGTTATTGAGAAGCAATTGTGTAGGAGGACCTTGCAAAGCTTGGGGCTGGGTAAATGGGTGATGGACACAGGCAAGGTTACGCTTAGCTCTAGAACAACCGCAGCCTTGATGCACTGTTAAATGAGCTCTTCCTACAATTTCTTACTTTTAGGCAAATTCTATACAAGCTGTAGCCCTGCCTACCCTGATGGCTTATTTTTCTGCTGGATAAACAATAATGCCTGCCCCCCCATCCCTTATAATACTCAGGCCTCTTTCCTGTAATTTTCAGCTTTGCTTACAGACAAAGATTGGCCTCTAGGTCAAGCCAATGAAGTTACAAGGAAAACGTTTATTCTTTCTCATTTTGACAGATTGCTCACTGAACCGGATTGCTATACTTTTGAAATACAGTGTGTTTTCCAGGTAATCGGACTTTGGGGAGCTTCCTTCCACTCAGGAGAGTTCTGGCAGAAAGAAATCTTCAAAAGAGCTCCACGTGCAAAAGAAGAAGAAGAAGAAGAGGAAGAAGAAGAAAGAAGGAGGAGGAGGAGGAGGAGGAAGAAGGAGAAAGAAGAGAAGGAGGAGGAGGAGGAGGAGAAGAAGGAAGAAGAAGGAGGAGAAGGAGGAGAAGGAGGAGGAGAAGAAGAAGAAGAAGAAGAAGGAGGAGGAGGAGGAGGAAGAAGGAGAAAGAAGAGAAGGAGGAGGAGGAGGAGGAGAAGAAGGAAGAAGAAGGAGGAGAAGGAGGAGAAGGAGGAGGAGAAGAAGAAGAAGAAGAAGAAGGAGGAGGAGGAGGAGGAAGAAGGAGAAAGAAGAGAAGGAGGAGGAGGAGGAGGAGAAGAAGGAAGAAGAAGGAGGAGAAGGAGGAGAAGGAGGAGGAGAAGAAGAAGAAGAAGAAGAAGGAGGAGGAGGAGGAGGAAGAAGGGAGGAGGAGGAGGAGGGGGAGGAAGAGGAGGGGGAGGAGAAGAAGAAGAAAAAACAGTTGCAGACTTTCAGTATGTTACCCAGAACAAAGTGACCTTCGCTCACTGAATGGGCTGTTGGAGAGTTAAAGTATGGATTTACATTTCAGCTTAAGTACTGCTTAAAAGAAGGATTGTTGAAAATAAAGGTATCACAGTAATATCAGAAAGAAGCAGAGATCATATAAGTGTGTTCAGTGGAAGCATACTGATGGGATGCCAAGTCTGAGTTTGAGATCATATTTTTTTATAGAGGCTTCAGTGTTGGAAGAATTCCTGATTTTTTTCCATGGAAAATTTCTGATTTTTGGAGGGGAGGGTATAGGGAAGTAGTCTAGCTAAACAACCTAGAAGATCAGAAGGAAAACAATACATTCTTTAAAAATCCTATTTAGAATGCACCAGATTAAAAACACAGACAACTGAACTGAGACCTCTGCTGCCAGAACACTGTAGCAAAAAACTGTCGAGTGAGAATTTCATGGGTAAGTGCCAGTTCCTTGCCATACCCAAACTTTTAACACCTTAAAAGAAATAATACATTTACAATGACTTCATATTGAACCTTGTCAAAAAGAAAGGAATTCCTGGGGGTCTGCCTGCCTCCCACTGATGAGGATTAGGCAAGAGGCCACCCACAAACACGGCACCACATTCAGAGGCTGTGTTCTGCTCCCTGCTTCAGTCCGTGGCTTAAGTGACTTTGCAATTTACTGCATCCGCAGTATGTGAAAGGCCTGGCTATTTTAACATAGGATCCTTATCTTTCAGCCGGGGAGCCAATGGATGTTAGGCAGCCATTTGTGAAGCAGGAATGAACTAGCACCATTAGTGCAAGGCCCGAGCCTCCCTCTTCATCCTGTGTCCCGCTCTTGTAACCTGCTCTTGCTCTACATCAGAGTATGACTGCATGAACTAGTTTCTACTCCCAAGAGGAGGCAGGCAAAGCTATTTCTGAAATATGGTGATGTTATTACTCCAGCCCTCTGTCCCCTTTAGGATCCTCCTGCGGGGGAATCCTCAGACAGCTGACACTTGATTGCTTTAAAAAAAAAAAATCCTTGGACCAGATGTGTTTGGAACTCAAAAGTTTTTCAGAGATGGCATTCACAACATGTATTACACCAAACCTTCAGTGGAGTCTAAGCCAGCAGCTCATAATCAAATACATAAATATTCCTGTAGTCAATATAGAAATTTTCACAATAAATGGAGTAAGACCAGAAATAGTGTCAAATCAGTTCAGGGTGAGTTCTGCCATCAAATGAATCTGGTGTTAAATTTGCTAAAGAGCTTTCAGTTTCCTAGGCATTTTGAGATTTGAAATTGAGGAAAGGAGATTTTTAGGTCTGTATTAGGTTTTTAACACATTATAACAAATTAACTTATTTGTATTTAGAGAGGAAGATGAGCCTATATGGCAAATAGCTTAAAGCACCTTCCAAAGTGATCTTTGGACACAGAATTTGAGGATAATTTATAGCATTTGAGCTAAGTGGATTGACCCTGTTCCTGGGCTCCTGTCATGAGACCTTAACACACTCAGTTCTTCAGAGTCAGGCTGTGACAGTGCTATTGTGAGATCTAGGCTGCCTCTCCACTACAGACAAAGGGATCAGAGTGGGCTGATCTCACTTCTGGGACTCACAGGAACATTCCCAGACTAGACTAAAAACCTCACCAAGACATGGCTTTGGGGGCCAACTGGCATGCTCGGATTATGACTCGATCATAAAGTCATTACACAGTTGGATTATTTTAAGCATCAAAACACCAAAAAACTTCCTAACTTGAGGACTTTTTTTAAAAAGTTTACATCATCGCTCTTTTAAAAATGGGTCAGAGAAGACTTTCAGGGCTGTTATGCTAGGGACTCTGTACATGGGAAGAGGTGATTTCCTGGAGGCTGGGGTTGTCACCAGTGAAGACATAGAGATGAAGGCTTACTTGGCTTCCAGGGCCAGTGCAATGATGCCCGCAGCCATGGGGGCTGAGGCGGATGTCCCCGTGTGGTTGTCCGTGCATCGCTGCCTTAGATCTGTGGTGATCTGAAAAAGAGAAGTAAGAAACTTAACCTCTGTGATTGGTATGAGTCATATGCACATAAACACTTACAAAAGTGCACTGCAGGGGCATTGAAATATTTCAAGTTCTTTGTTCCTTATTCCTGGGACTATACCACTAACAGACAAGGGCCCATGTAAGTGAAAGCTCTTCAGTAAGTGAAAGCTCTGAGAACTGTACTCCATTTCTGTGAAAACCAGAAGCAGGACTGTGGTGTACCTCCAGCCAGAAAGGTAAAGGTGGTGTAAGCATCTCCTTAAATTTGGCACTCCAGAAACCTCCTCACTTCACAGTACTGCCAGGATCAGTTAAAGGTAAAGTTCTTTCATTACCCCAATGTGATTAAACAACTGAATGTTTTGAATCAGCAGCCAGAATCAAATCTTGGCATGGGCAGCATAAGGAATAAAGGACTAAGCCCCAAGTGAGTATGATGGCATATGCCTGCACTCCCAGCACCCTGGCAGGCTGAGGCAGAAAGATCAGTTTGAAGCTCAATCTAGGCAACTTAGTGACTTAGCAAGACCCTGATGCTAAATAAAAATGAAAAAGATTGAGGATATAGCTCAGTATGAAAGCTCTGAATTCAATCTCCAATATCCCACTGCCCCCTGCCAAAAAAAGCATGTAGTCCCTACTTATACCCCACAACCCATTAATCTTGGGAGAGCTGTGGTTTCAAGCCAAAAATAAGCTGGGCAACAGTGGACTTTTCTTGACTTCACAGAAATGCCGCCTGGATGAATGGAGACCTCCTCAAAGATTTCACGTGGATACGGAACACAAGGCTGAGTCCAGTGTGCTTCATAAACAGCAGCAGCATGAAGCATCTGCTTGTACACTGCAGAAAGAGAAGAGCTATTTCTCCATTTTTATTTCCTAATCAAAATGGGAGTACTCGATTACTTTTATTTTCTTGGCTTGAATTCAGTTCACTTCAGCTGCAAATGAATAATATTACCATCCTGCAACAGCCAGGGTTCTAAACCTTTGTTTTATTATTGTATCACTAAGAAAGAAATTAAGTTTAAACTCTCTTTAATAAGATAAATTAAATATTATGGAATAAGGTACTCTGGAAACAAATGTAATATCTCTAATATTTTTTTAAAACCCTGTCTCCTGAGCAGGAATCCATCTTTGATCCCTTGGGACGAATACCATGTTTGTAGCGAGTGCACATGCCTTAGAAGATGAGTTATTAGACTCGTTGTAGTTATTAGAAGACATTAAATCAATCTTTCTTTGTCATAAAGAAAAAAATATAAGTAAAGTATATTGCCACATATTACAAACAAGAGAACCGACAGCAGAAAGATAAAGAGGGATAGATAGAGGTGGTAGAAAATAAAGCTCTGTTGTTGAAAGGCGTTTCCCTGAAGAGACGGTGAAGATGAGCCCACTTTGGGGAGGGAAGAGAGCTGTCAGGCCTCCCAGAGATGGATCTTGCCTCAGGAGTCTCTCCTATGTCACAGCAGGGTGTGCAAGGGGGCTCTCGTATCACCTGTTAAGGATCTAGACCCGCGTCTTGACTCATTTAGTTTCACGTTACAACAGCCGTTTACATTCTTTTCTGTATATGAATACTCACACAAAAGAAGTTGCAGAATGAACAAAAATGTGTAGAATCACACAGATACAGCATGCATATCGACAGAGCACAGACAGAATATATTAAGAATCTTGGTGGACTTTCCATGTTTGACTCTAAAAATATACTTTTAATTGTGTAGAAAAGCACATAATTTGACCCTCTTAGCAGTCTTAGGTGCACAGTTTGTAGTATTAAGGATACAAATCACCACACCGTTATCTGCAGAGCACTGTTATGGTCAAACGAATCCTCACTGCTCTTCTCCTCACCTCCTAGCAACCACCCGATCCATTTCCATGAGTCTGATTAATCTAGGTACTTCATCTAAGTGGAACTGTATGGCATTTGTCTTTTATGCTGGAAGCATTTCACTTAGCACACTATCCTTGAGGTTCATCCCCACTGCAGCACCTGCCAAGATTTCCTACCCTTTTGAAGCTGAGCAAATTGTGCCACATGTTTGGCACGCATTCATTGGCCAGTGGGTCCTTGAGTTTCCCTCACACTTTGGCTGCTGTGGGTAGTGCTGCAAGTGCGCACGGGTGTACAAAAATCTTTTTGAGATCCTATTTTCAATTCTTTGGAATATACAGCCAGCAGTGAAACTGCTGGATCACTAAAATGGTATTTCCATCTCACAGAGAGTGGTGGGTCTATTTGCAGCCTAATATTCTCTAAGTCAATGTATGTATACTCCAGAAGCAGCTTGTTTTCAAGACTCCAGTGCTTAAGAGATGGCCTTGCCTGTATTCCTCTCATTTTACCTCCCCCATGGGCACATCCCTTTGTCCAAGTTTTTTATTTTTTTTTCAACAACTTGTGCCTGGATTCACGAGTTTTCATGACGTTTCCCCACTTGGCTCTCCTTGGTTATTCTTCAGCTGCACTAGATCCTTGCAATTCACAGAAACAAATCCAGAATAAACACTACAAGCGTGGGTAGCATTTTTGAATATAATGAATAGTCACCTCCAGCCAAACACAAACAAAATTTTCTGATGTAGGGTCTGCAACAAGAATATGGCTCATCCATGTGCAGACAGTAGGTACATACATATATAACACAGATGTAAACAAAAACTTTCTTGATATCTTAATACATGAGCATCAAAGTGTTAAGTGTTATTAACATAGCCAGGCCCGTGGAATTCCAAGTAACTACTGGGTTGTAATTTTTTAAGCATTTTAACTAAATTAAACTTGAGACGAGGGAGTTGGAATGGGAAAGAGGTGGAGCAGGGGGCTGACAAAAGGGTTAGATGGAATGGGAAGGAAAACAAACAAACAAAAAACAAGAAAAACATCCTCACTCCCTTCTCATCTGCTTATAAGTGAAAATTCCAGCTGGGTCATTTCAAAAGGAGGTTACTATCAGTGGTGGAGATATTTAGGTGTAAATTACCAGAAAGATCTAAGGCAACATTTTAATAATTAAGAGAAGGCATCTGAGTATCAGATAATTTTTATTTCAGTTTTTAGAAAGAAAAGGCAAAGACCACCAAGGAGCATGCAGTCTTGAAGAAAAATGAGGCTCTGAAAACTGGAACCACATGGGGTAACACTATTAATCACAACACATGCATATAGGATCTGACAGGGTAATTTAAAGGAGAGCTGTATTCAGTGTGGGGCATGGTGGGAGTCTAGAGAGTCTATACGCAGAACAATAAAGCACTTTAGCTTTAGGAATTTTAAAGAATTGGTCTCAATTCACTATCCAAATCAGAAACAGAACTGTTTTCCAAAGAACTTCTCAGATCGCTCAAGAAAATATTATTTGTGTCCATAAAAAGGAAATAAACTGGAAAAGACACCAGGCCCTGGGCTAGATCAAAGCTGTCCTGATGGGCAAATTAGATTTTCAGCCTCTCTCTCAGGATCAGTAGCAGATGCCACCAGTTTCAAGATATCATCCTGAACTCAGTGGGAAGAGTGTGAACTGCACTGGACTAGTCTAGAGATTTACTTTGAAAACAACTATGGCCTTTTCTCATCCCAAGCTATTTCCTAGGAATACTTTTTAACAATTCCCATTTCATTACTTGAGTAGATTGGGTCTGCAATTGTGTTTTAGCCTGTTGATGCAATTGTCCAGGGATTCGCATTTCAGACTGTATTTTTGGCCCTGCATGGTAAGTCTTTACAGTAATTCTACAGGTAAGAGTTTCTCTCTCCCTGATATCCTGTGATCTGTTTTATTTTGAAGGTGCCATATTGTCTCATATCTGTTAAGAGAGCAACTGAACAGATATTTTTAAAACATGAAACAATTCTGCTGTCTGTTAGGTTGAATTTGTTGCTGGTGTTGATTTTGATTTGGATTAGAAATGTGCCAAGAAAGCTGTTTCAGACACAGCTATGGGCGAGAAGGGCTGAAACTAAATCTTACATATGTCAATGAATAAAATAGGAGGAGCTGATTTATTAAGCACAGTAACATAAAAAGGAACAAGGACTGATGAATGCTCTTCATGTCCATAGAAGACACTAAGACTGGTGTAAAATTCAATCACAAGTGACAAGACAGTACGAAGTCCCACTTCTGTGTTGCTAAGAGAATCTGCAATGTAAAGTGTAAAAGAAAGGCTTTGCTTACAAATGTGAGGTTGCTATCACTTAAAAAAGATCCAACCTTATATCATTTTTAAATCTCCATAAGATTCAGCGCAGGACCATGCATCAACAGCCGCAGAGTATTTCCTTGTCAAGTTGAATCCCTGAAATCAAGCTGCTTTAGACTCACTTTGTCCTATGCTTTACATGTCCCTTATTTGAAAAAACACTCTGAGGTCATTTCTTTTTTGAGTCTTCAAACAAAACTCAGAGGCTTATATTCAACATACCAAATCATACGTCTACATGTACATCCACAGTCCAGGGGTTAAAGTACAGTGATTAGTCTCACAATTACTATTGCTATCTCACTGCTTCCCTTAAAGCAAGCCCCATAAGCAATTGATGCAAGAATTATGTGTGTTTGTTTAAAGTTACGGACAAACTTTGCAAGAAAGAAATTACAGTTCTATCAGCTAAAGAAATAGACAAGCTAAGTAACTTGCCAGAGAACACACAGCTGTCACAGGGTAGAAGGCATTAAACCCTGAAATACTCACAAAACAAAAAACTAAGTGTAGTCATTCCTAAGGACATAGGCAAGGGAGCGAGTACATCAACCACAATCAACAACAGCAACAATCAACAACAACAACAATCAATCGAAAGCAGTAGTGGCAGAACCAGCCAGGAATAGCAATTCTCCTTTATGCCACAGTTAAAATCAGAATTCTTCAGGAAGCCCTGAAACTTTCCCTTTTACTTTTCAGAACTTTCGAGAGAATGTGAATCGTACTTCCCAACACATCTGGACTCACTAGTCTTTTACTCATGAAA